ATTGTTATTCTTAATGATGCTGGGACAAGGACATTTTCTATCCTCGCTGGCCCTACTCTAGCCCTCCTAAAGTTTAAAGGACAGTATACTGGCCCTTTATTTGAAACGTTTGAAGGCCTCTGCTCTATATAGTAGTGGTCACTAAACTGTGGCCCTTTGCTTGCCTTTATCTGTCCCCCTGGCCACAATTCAACCAACGTACACCAATGATGAAGCAAAATAGCTCTCTCACTCTCTTACTGGTCACTGGAAGTTTAACATGGCACCTCATGGCAAAGAAATCTCTGAGGATCTGAAAAAAAGAATTGTTGCTCTACGTAAAGATGGCCTAGGCTATAAGAAGACTGCCAAGACCCTGAAACTGAGCTGCAGCACAGTGGCACAGTGGCCCTACAGGACCATACAGAAGTTTAACAGGACAGGTTCCACTCAGAACAGGCCTCGCCATGGTCGACCAAAGAGGTTGAGTGCACGTCCTCAGTGTCATATCCAGAGGTTGTCATTGGGAAATAGATGTATGAGTGCTGCCAGCATTGCTGCAGAGGTTGAAGGGGTGGAGGGTCAGCCTGTCAGTGCTCAGACCATACGCCGCACACTGCATCAAATTGGTCTGAGTGGCTGTCATCCCAGAAGGAAGCCTCTTGTAAAGATGATGCACAAGAAATCCCGCAAACAGTTTTCTGAAGACAAGCAGACTAAGGTCATTGATTACTGGAACCATGTCCTGTGGTCTGATGAGACCAAGATAAACTTATTTGGTTCAGATGGCGTCAGACGTGTGTGGCGGCAACCAGGTGAGGAGTACAAAGACAAGTGTGTCTTGCCTACAGTCAAGCATGGCGATGGGAGTGTCATGGTCTGGGACTTCATGAGTGCTGCCGGCACTGGGGAGCTACAGTTCATTGAGGGAACCATGAATGCCAACATGTACTGTGACATAATAAAGCAGAGCATGATTCCCTCCTTTCAGAGACTGGGCCAAAAGGCAGTATTCCAACATGTTAACGACCCCAAACACACCTCCAAGACGACCACTGCCTTGCTAAAGAAGCTGAGGGTAAAGGTGATGGACTGGCCAAGTGAGTCTCCAGACCTAAACCCCATTGAGCATCTGTGGGGCATCCTCAAACAGAAGGTGGAGTGCAAGGTCTCTAACATCCACCAGCTCCATGATGTCGTCATGGAAGAATGGAAGAGGACTCCAGTGGCAACCTGTGAAGCTCTGGTGAACTCCATGCCCAAGAGGGTTAAGGCAATGCTGGTAAATAATGGTGACCACACAAAATATTGACACTTTGGGCCCAACTTGGACATTTTCACTTAGGGGTGTACTCACTTTTATTGCCAGTGGTTTAGACATTAATGGCTGTCCTAATCTCCCCATATGATCAAGAACTTTCCGATCATGTGACTGCTGTGACAGTTAATCACGGTGGTCACATGACCCTAAAACTCCGCCCTGCCTCCTGGCGTGTGAAACCCCTTAAAGGGCTGGGAGGTGTCGGCGTGCGCCCTCCTACCCGGAAATGCAAATATCACGTATATACGCGTGATTTTGTGCAGCCCTGCCGCCCTGTAGCAGTATTTCTGCTGTAGGGCGGCGGGGAAGCGGTTAACAGTTGCAGTGGTTTGCAGCTATTTAGAGTTGTGCCTATATATTTTGAGGGTCAAGTCCTTTTTTTCCTTAGTACCAGTACTGTGGACCTGGAGGTGATCTTGCCTGCATTGTTATTGTGGTAATGCACTAGGTTGGTGCGTTCTCTCATTGTTGTTTTTTCTAGTACATGCAAGAACACCCACAGTCTTGTGAGGGCAGCAAGACCATCTGGGTCACACCCACAAGACAGTCAAGCAGAAAGTCCAACATTTCTGTAGCACCATGCCTATGCGCAGAAGGTTATTATTTTTACATACGCCTAACACTGGGAGCCTGTTTGGATCCTCCTGAGCTCTGGATTGAGCCTGAGAGATCTCTGGAGATTGTAGTTGCTGGCGGCCGGCATTACACTTTCTTCCCTGTGCCAATTCAACCTGTACCTTGGATTATTTACTTTGACCTGCTGTTTACTTCACGCTTATGTGAGTATATTTGATGGTGTTGAATACATTTAATGGAACGTTTCTACACTGAGTTTCTCTTTATTATGCAAATATCGCATTTGTGTCGGTGTCCAGTGGAATGGTCCTAATCTCCGCATGTGATCAAGAACTTTCCGATCATGTGACTGCCGTGACAGTGAATCATGGCGGTCACTTGACCCTAAAATTCCGCCCCGCCTCCCAGCGTATGAAACCCCTTAAAGGGCCGGGAGGTGTCGGCGTGAAGATTTTAAGTAGACTGTTTTATAGTTAGGCCAGTGACTCCAGAAGAAGTAACTGGGCTTCACAGAAGTTTATGTTTGGCTTTAAGATGCATCTTTTTTTGAATGGTTGTTAAAGTGTTACTAAACCCATGATCCCGCATTCACTATATCCGGTCTCCGACAGTACACAGAATATGGAAATGTAATTCTTTTAGTAAATATAAGCTAATACCTCTTCTCATCAGCAGTCACAGCAGTCTTGTGACTTCTATCAATGTCCAGCAGATCACTGGTTAAAGCTTGTAGAAGGAGTTTTCATTCTCCTCTCACTGTCCTATGAGGTCGCAGGACCCCTGACCCTCTATCTGGACAGCGCTGATTGGCCCTGTACTGATCATATGCACTCTCCCAAGAAAAAAAAAACTCTCTAGCAATACACACCCAACTGAGCATGTGCAGCTTGCCCCCAAGGCTTTGTTCTATCAGCAGATGGATTGGGGACAGTAGAAGAAGGAGAGGATCAGAGAATATGGGATCAAACATCTTTTTTCCCCAGTGCAGAGAATTAACCCCTTAAGTTCCACAGTGGGTATAACAAGCATGCTTTACTGCATATACAGACTGATTTTGTTGTTGTGGGTTTAGTAACATTTTAATAGTGTGTGATAAGATACAAGAATTAGATAACAAATCGGCAGTTTATGGAATCTAAGGAAGGCCATATTACTAAGCAATTATCTTTCCTGCAACCTGCAGTTGCAGGAATGAAAATTGCTTGATGCCCCCCATCAACACAGTCATAGTTGATGGGGGAATCCCTCCAAAAGAGCCATTGTGTTCTACCGGCAGGGAACCTTTTCCCACTGGCAGAAACCAATAATCACTGCTGGTGGCTATAGCCGCTGGCATTGGTCTCATGAAAAAAATCCAACAGGCTGGTTGTACTAAAGTTAATCAACGGATTAACTTCAGTACAACCAGCCTGCCCATAGATGGATCGAATCTCATCCAGTCCCTGCTGAACTGGCCAAAATTTGATTCATGTATGGCTGGTTTAAGGATGCATTTTGATTACATTATCATATTTACACCGTGTTCCAAATTATTATGTAAATTCTATTTAAGTGTCACAAAGATTAAATTTTTTTTTTTCAGTTTAACTCATGGATGGCATTGTGTGTCAGGGCTCTTTTGATCACTGAAAACAATCTCGGGCACCTGTGATAATTAGATTGGCCGGTGAGCCCAATTTAAGGAAAAACTCCTAAAGGAGGGTGTTCCACATTATTAAGCAGAGCACCATTTTCAAGCAATATGGGGAAGAAAAAGGATCTCTCTGCTGCCGAAAAGAGTGAATAAGTTCAATGTCTTGGACGAGGTATGAAAACATTAGATATTTCACGAAAACTTAAGCGTGATCATCGCACTATTAAGAGATTTGTGGCTGATTCAGAACACAGACCGGTTCGTGCAGATAAAGGCACATTGAGGAATATTTCTGCCAGATCCATGCATCAGATCAAGAGAGCAGCTGCTAAAATACCATTACATAACAGCAAACAGATATTTGAAGCTGCTGGTGCCTCTGGAGTCCCACGGACATCAAGGTGTAGAGTCCTCCAGAGTCTTGCAACTGTGCATAAACCTTCTATTCGGCCACCACTAACCAATGCTCACAAGCAGAAACAGCTGCATTGGGCAGAAAAATACATGAAGACTAATTTTCAAACAGTCCTGTTCACTGATGAGTGCCGTGCAACCCTGGATGGTCCAGATGGATGGAGTAGTGGATGGTTGGTGGACGGCCACCCTGTTCCAACAAGGCTGCAATGTCAGCAAGGCGGTGGTGGAGTCAATTTTTTGGGCCGGAATCATGGGAACAGAGCTGGTCAGCCCTTTAGGGTCCCCGAAGGTGTAAAGATGACCTCTGCAAAGTATGTGGAGTTTATGACTGACCACTTTCTTCCCTGGTACAGAAGGAAGAACTATGCTTTCTGTAATAAAATCATCTTCATGCATGACAATGCACCATCTCATGCTGCAAAGAATACCTCTGCATCAATGGCTGCTATGGGGATAAAAGGAGAGAAAGTCATGGTGTGGCCTCCATCCTCCTTCTGACCTCAATCCTATTGAGAACCTTTGGAGCATCCTCAAGCAAAAGATCTATGAGGGTGGGAGGAAGATTACATCCAAACAGCAGCTCTGGGAGGCTATTCTGACATCTTGCAAACAAATTCAAGCAGAAACTGTCCAAAAACTCACAAGTTCAATGGATGCAAGACTTGTGAAGCTGCTATCAAATAAGGGGTCCTATGTTAAAATGTAACGTGACCTGTTTAAAAAAGTTAAAATGTTGTTAAAAGTTTGACTGAAATAGCTTTTGATTTCAGTAAATATGCTGCAAACACAACAAATGACAATTTTCAGTTCTTTACAACCTATAAAGTGTTTTGAAACTTACTGTGCAGAATAATTTGGAACAGTCATTGGAAGTGTTTTATGTTTAAAAAAAATACTGTTATCATTAGGAGGTTTGTTCAATAAAATTTGAATTGTGTTGATAACATGAGAATTATGCTGACTGTTATTTACATCAATGATTTAGGTAAATGAGAAAAATATCATTTGCATAATAATTTGGAACAGGGTGTATATATGATTTATGTGGCTTAGATAGAAAACTGTCCCAGAATATTATTGTGTCAGTCAGTTCTGTTATACTCACTTTAACTCCTTTATACAGCTTGTTGCCAGAGCTGCCATCAGATCACTGAAATGAGGACCCTCCAGATTGTTCCAGGACAGGTTCAGTGTCCTCAGTGTCTGGTTATTTCTTATTCCAGATGCCAGATGGGGGCAGGAACTGTCTGTCAGGTGGTTAGAACGCAAACTGTAGAAGAAGAGAAGAATGTTACCAGGAGAAAATGAATGCAACTATTGAGGGGGGGATGCAAGATGGGGGGTGAGAGAGAGGGGGCAGAAAAAAGGGTGTGAGAGAGAGGTGGGATGAGAGGGAGGGGGAGTAAGAAAGAGAGGGGTGAGAGAGGGAAGGGGTGACAGAGGGGGTTGGTGTGATGCCTAGTACCTACCTCCCACCGATCCTCATCCTCTGTACAGGGCCCCCCATCAGCCTATCCTCGTGTTGATGTCGGAGCGGAGAGGAAGTTGAATAAGGAGCCCAGTCTTTGGGAGGTGCCGGGGGTGCTTTGCCCACTTCTGCTCACCTTGGTCAGGGAGCTGGTGGAGGTCTTTTCCCTCCGGGGCCCTTGATCCTAGACACCCTTGTTCTGCTTGCCTTCCCCATGTCCTCTGTCTCCAGGGCCGCCTGCTTGCCTTGTGGAGCAATGCGCAATCATCCTGCCTGCATCCCAAGGACACCACTTTTGGCACCAGAGTTAGTTAAGCTGCCTTGCTTACCATTGCCACCAGACTCTCCATGACAAGGGGCTCAAGGGCCCCACAATAATGACTGAGCCCAGGGTAGCTGCCCCTTTTCCCTATGTTAAAGACAGCCGTGGCTCAGAGTGGACCTGGTACCATGTAATCGCTGTGATAAGAGTCACAATAGTAAGCAAGGCTGTCAATCATGATGCCCTGCTTACTACTGTGATGATCCCTGTGATCGGTCACAGTGATCACATGGTACCAGGGCCAATCATCAGTAGCAAGCAAGGCTTCAAGAATGAAACCTTTGCACAGTGTTAGAGATTGCTTATAACAGTGATCAACACTGTAATAAGCAATCAGAGTGTAAAAAAAAAAAATATATGCCTGTATATATTGTACATTTACATGCTGTCACCAGAACAAGTACAATGTCACCAGGGTGACATTGTACAGTGTGGCGGTGATCATGTACAGTACAATGGCTAGCTGCTCCAGCCATTATCTCTGATCATTGCCACAGAAGTACAATGTCACCAGACCACTCCCGTCAGTCAGTATTCCTAATCTCCGCTGCTCACACACCACTGCACTAATTACTGTATGTAATAACCGCAGTCCACTCACGGTGTCCCTAATCACCTCCACATCAGTCATATTGTTCCTGATCACCACCACACCAGTTACAGTTACTGTGTCCCTGATCATTGCCACACCAGTTACTGCCTCCCTGATCTTTGCCACATTAGTCAAATTGCCCCTAATCACTGCCATACTAATCATGTTATCCTTGATTACATCACACCAGTTACAGTATTCCTGATCATTGACACACAAGATACAGTGTCCCTGATCACCGTCACCCCAATTACAGTGTCCCTGATCACCGCCACATCAGTGCAGTGTTGCCTCTGCCTGCCACCTGTACTAACCCTGGTCTGCTGATTGACCACATTTCTGCCTCCTGTTTGTACTGATCCTTTACCTGTTTTTCTGATCATGTCTCTGCCTGTGGCCTGAAGTGATCCATCAACACATCCTGCTGACTACATTCATGCAAGACACCAGGCCAGTGGACATGACATTCCTGGGGGTAGCCATATACCAGCAGACAAGGCTTGTTAGACTTATAAGGACTGGGACTGCTACATATGACGCTACACTAAGTTACTATATTTTCCTTGACCACCCATACAGAGGTGACCATTACAGCACATTTGGTTTTGACACAATTGGTTGATTTGTGTGATGTACAAATTACAATATTCAGTATATAATCAGTCCAGACAGTGAAAAGGTCTCTCACATATGGTATCACCATACTCGGGAGGAGTAGTGTGTTTTGGGTTGTAAATATAAGTATGTACGTACTGTCTTGGCTATTCAGACTCTCAAGAAATGAGATAAGCAGTTAGTACATCAGGACTGATCAATTTTCAAATATATACCATTGTTTACAGACTCTATAACTTTCACACAGACTAAATAATATACACTGATTTGGGTTATTTTTGCCAATGAGATATGGCAGAATACATTTTGGGCTAAATGTATGAGGAAAGTTTATGTACTGTATTTGCAAAATTTTTTCAAGAGAAACTAATAAAAAGTGTTTTTTTTTTTCAAAACTCTTGGCATTTTTTCATTTATATAGCAAATAATAAAAACCCAGTGGTAACTACATAACACCAGAAGAAAGCTCTATTTATATAAAAAAAAAATTGTAGAAATTTCACTTGGGTACAGTGTTGCATTCACTTGGGTACAGTGCTGCATGACTGAGAAATTTTCAAAGTGTGACAGCGCTGAAATCTGGATATTATTGTCTCAGTCAGTCCTTTTATACTCACTCTAACGCCTCTATACAGCTTGTTGTCAGAGCTTCCATCAGATAACTGAATTTACGACCCTCCAGATTGTTCTCATACAGGTTCAGTATCCTCAGTGTCTGGTTATTTCTTATTCCAGATGCCAGGTCTGGGCAGGAAATGTCTGTCAGGTGATTTCCAACCAAACTTTAGGAGAAAAGTAGAATGTTACGAGAAAAAAAAAATGAAGTTCTCCTTTAGGAATGAATGTAATTATTCTCTACAGGAATATAACTAATTTCTATTTATCATGTTAGATTGTAACAATTATATCAAACTTTACACACTAAAAACACAATAGTGCGATTTCATATGCAACTTCAGAAGACACATTATTTTCAATGGTGCTTGTTCAAATCAATGCAATATGACTGCAATGCAATATTGAAAAGGTCCCAGCACTACTTTAGTGTGGCTGCAACATGATTTTTGCCCCATAGATTTCAATGGAGTAGCACCAAAAACATATCTACATGTGTTTATTTGGTGTGATTTTCCCGGTGATTTGTGTTGGTTGTTAGGATGCTGGCGGGTGCTGTCTCCTAACAACCAGTGACTTATCTCTGCTGTTAGCAGCAGGGATGAGTCATTGGTTGTTAAATTGCTGGCACCCACTGGGGATTTCCAGCTGACAGCAGAATGTCAACAACTGAGTTGGGGCCTCCCCCAATTCATACCAGGCCCTTCGGGTTTAAATTTTAAAAGACGCCCAAAAAATAAAAAATGTGGGGTCCCCCTCAAAATTGATACCAGGACCTTATATCTGGTATGGTTTTAAGGGGGGGCCCCATTCCAAAAAATGAACACAAAAATGGCATGGGGTTACCCCACAATCCATACCAGACCCTTATCCAAGCGTGCAGCCTGGCAGGCTAGCAAAGTGTTTGGCTCCACCTCCTGAACCATATCTGGACCACCCTGGCAAAGCATGTTGTCCCCTTGTTGATGAAGACAAGGGCCTGTTCCCCACAACCCTAGCCTGGAGGTAGTTAGGGTCTGCAGGCAAGGGGCCTACTGGAATCTGGAAACCCCTTTAACAATAAGGGAGCCCCCAGATCCTAAGCCTCCATGTGAATGACATGTGTGTACATAATACCATTACTTATTCACCAAAAAAGTCAATTTTAAATAAAAACTCAACAATGGATGTACATCAGGGGATATATATCTATTTATTTTAATAAAAGACTTGTTAACCACTTGCCAACCGTTAATTTACTGCTAGCTGCCACGTCCCCCAGACACTTTAATGTACCCATATGTCGTGGTGCTAATGCGCACTGGCTTGATCTTGTGACTGCTGTGTCCAGTGGAAACAGCAGATCACATTGCTCAGTAACCCACCACTGTGAGCAGCCAGGGTATCATGTGAACACTATGACCAATCATAGCGATCACATGATAACACATAAGCAAAAAAAGTCACGAATGGCTTTCACTCATGACAGTTTACTTACTATTGTGATGCTGTAATTGACCCACTTCTATCACATGCTACCTGGGAATATCACAGCACCCTATACCATGTGATAGCTTTGGGCCAATCACAGCATCACAATAGTAAACAATGAATCATGAATGAAAGCCATTAATGACAGTTCAAACGATTGTTGTTACGCTGATCATCACTGTAACAAGCAATCACAGTGTCAAAAAAAATAATTGATCAACCCCCCCCCCCCAACCAGTCTCCAGGGTAGTACAGTCACACTATGGTTGATCAATTTTCAAAATATATACAGGTGAAACTCAAAAAATTAGAATATCGTGCAAAAGTTCATTTATTTCAGTAATGCAACTTAAAAGGTGAAACTAATATATGAAATAGACTCATTACATGCAAAGCAAGATAGTTCAAGCCGTGATTTGTCATAATTGTGATGATTATGGCTTACAGCTCATGGAAACCCCAAATCCACAATCTCAGAAAATTAGAATATTGTGAAAAGGTGCAATATTCTATGATAATATTATAAAATTCACCGCTACATAAAGCCCTAAAGATATCCTGAGACAATCAGAAATGCCCAACAGGAAAAAAAGAAGAAATAAAATAAACCAGAGAAAGAAAAAAAAAGGAGGGTCAGTCCGGGATTTCGCTTAGGGACCGATATTTAAGGAAGCCATAGATTCCATGTTCTATAGAACGTCTTAGTGTTATTATGAAGAATACCGTTAGCCTGTCGCTGACCATAATCCAGTTACCCTTATTCTGTACTTAGTCAAGAGGAACCACCGACTGCTTCAAATATTTAGCAATAGTAATTCTTGCCACCAAAATTATATATGTGATTAATTTCACTGACTTTCTGGGAATCTCATCAGGTAGTTTTTGAAAGAGGGCCAACTCCAGGGATCTACAGGTTTTTACTCCTGTCACTGAGTAAATAAAGTTAAACATCCAAATCCAAAATCTGGTCACTATAGGGCATTGCTACCAGATGTGATACACAGTTCCCAGCTGGTTGCAAAGCCGAAAACAAGTGGGCAATGTTGACAGGTGCACATTTGGTAGGGATCAAGTACCAACGTAAAAGTGTTTTATAGTTGGCTTCTGTTAACTTTGTATTAATGGATACTTTAGATAACGCATAAGCAATATCTTGCCACTCAGATAATTCAAAGATAAGATTCAGGTTCAGTTCCCACGGAGTCATAAAAGACAGCTTGGAATTCAGATCAATGAGGAAAGCATATATCGCCAACACCCATCCCCTAAAAGGCCCCTTGCTTGGCAAGATAGTTAAAAATCGTGAATATAAGAAGTCCATCCAATAAATTAAGTTACATCTTATAAAAAATAAAATTACGAAAAACCTAATACTGTAGATACAAATTTTATTATACCTAAATATTTCACTAGGCGGTATCTGCAGTTTGTTTTTAAAATATAACTGTGGAATATAACTGGTCACCATTAAGATAATATCCAATTCTTAATAACCCCTTGTTAATCCACCACTGAAAATATGTAGGTACTAACCCAGGTGGGAACTCAAGATTGCAAAAAATAGGGGCTAACGGTGTATGCAGAAGTGATAAGGCTTTACAATGGGAACCCGATCCCAGATGGCTAATGAATGCAATAAAGCGGGACACAGTGTAGGAGGGCGTAGAAGGCTAGGAAGCCACAGCAATGAGCCAATGGCAAGAGGACACCAGGAGAGAGCTTCAATAGAGACCCAAGTAATTAAGGTTTTTAAGCAGTAGTAAAGGCAAGTTAAGATATTTGAACAGCTTGAAAATAAGCTTGTAGGTTGTACAGGCCATCCCGGCTTGTGGTTTTGAAGCATATAATGTCGATTTGTTCATCCGGGGCTGTTACGCCAAATAAAACAGAGGAACTCAGCTTGTAGGTGCTGTAAGTTCCCTCTCAGGATTGCTATTGGTAAGTTTCTAAAGAAGTAAAGTATCCTGGGTAAAAATTTCATTTTGATAGAGTTAATTCTCCCAAACCAAGATAACGAATAATCCACCCAACGACGAAGATCTCCTTGAAGTATTATGGATAGCGGAGGATAATTAACCCGGTAAAGGGTCTCGATGGATGATGTTAATTGAATCCCTAAATATGGAAGAGAGCGATGTGCCCATTGGAGATTATAAGTATTATCCTGAAAGGTATGTACTGTGGAAGGAGAAAATAAACACTAAGAGCCGTTGTTTTTTGAGAGTTCAGGGAAAGCCCAGCAATTTGAGAGAACTGGCGCAGTAGAGATAACAAATTAGGTAGAGTGATTTGAACATAAGAACATCATCAGCAAACAGGGCATATTTATGCTCCTGTTGTCCACAGCAGGTGCCATGAATGTTGCGGTGAGGAGTGAATTGCCACAGCAAGAGGTTCAATTGGTAATGGAAAAAGTAAAGGAGAAAGTGGGCAGCCCTGTCTCGTGCCACATTGGATAGGGAACAACAAAGATCTATAACCGCTTACGAGACTTGAGTTTAGTGAGTGCTGTATAAGGTTTTAATAAAGAGAGTAATGTGGAACCAAATCCAAAGGCCTCCAATGTGGTAAACATTCCCAAGTTAAGCAATCAAAAGGCCCTATGGAGATCCAGCGAGAGAAGTAAAACTTCCCTAGAAGGAGGAGCATCCCAATTAGTACATACTGCTGACATCAGTGTTATAGACCAACAAATCTGGTCCAAGGTTTGGCATCCAGTTATAAATCCTGAATGATGTTTATGAATATACTGTTCCAAAAAAGTATTAAGACGCAGAGCCAGAAGTTTCATAAGAATTTTAAAATCATTGTTAATCAGTGAGATTGAGCGATAATTAAGGACATCAGTAGAGTTAATATAAGGTTTAGGAATAACACTTATGTACACCTTATTTTCGTCCAGAGGGACCACTTCACCATCCTGTAAAGAGGTAAAATACAGAGCCAAATGTGGGGCAAGCTGTTCAGAAACTTTTTCATAATAGCTTTAGAGAGATCAGCAGGGTCTGGTGATTTATGTGGAGATAGTGTCCTAATAGTCTTTTGGATATCCTCACAAGTAAAGGGCTGTTCCATGAGCTCCTTATGGGAATCCTTAAGAGATGGTAGGGGCATGGCCTTTAGAAAGTCATTATTGGAGGAGGAAGTGTCACCTTGAGGTCAACTGTATAACCGTATAACAAAATTACGGAATTCCTGAAAAATCTTCTGGGGATCTTGAAAGATATGACCCCCAAAAGTCTAATTCACGGGAGAGCAAAATGAGAATATCTAGGAGTAAATTTGTATTCTAACAGGCAACCTGGCCTATCACGCCAGGTAAAAAATGTATGATTTGTCTAGAACAATTGCTTTTGTGGTAAGGGAAATATTAAGTTCCAGGTGGGCCTGTTCAAGTTTATATAACAGGTTGAGAGTCAGGGAGCTGTTATGTTGGTAACCAGAGCCTCACATTCCTTAGATTTGGCAGAAATAATCTCATCACAGGCTTTTTAAGTCTGGACGACAGTTGAATAATAAAAGCCTCTGGCAGAGGCCTAGTGCACAGCCCAATTAATAGCAGGTGTAGTGTCTTCTGCTTTTTTAACATTAAAGTAAGCTTTCAAGTGGGTAGAAATATCTAGACAGCAAGATTCATTACTGAGGAGAGATTTGTTTAGTCGCCAATGTGGTTTGACCATCCTAGCTGTCTAGTTAGAAAGCGTCAGCACTACAAGGTCATGATCTGACCAGGGTGTGAAGTCCTGAGAAGAGAAACATATGGTTGATAAGAGAATAATGATTATGAGCTCTAGAAAAGTGAGAATAATCTCTAGTTGTGGGTTTGGCTTCCCTCCAGGCATCAATGGCCTAAATGTATGAAGATTATTTGTTTACAAAATTTTACAGAAACTAAAAAAACTTGTTTTTTTTTTCAAAACTTTAGGTATTTTTTCATTTATATAGCAAAAAAAAAATCCACAGTGGTTACAGCGTTGCATGGCCGAGCAATTGCCAGTTAAAGTAGCACAGTGCTGAATAGCAAAAATGCCCTAGTCATAAAGGGGGTAAAACCTTCCAGAGATCAAGTGGTTAATCATGTTGTCCAGCGATGTAGATCTATGTCAATTATGATGAATGACGCTGCAGACCTGAACGAAAAAAACCTTCCTGGCACCTGACTTCAACAGAAATTATCCCACAGGATTAACTTCAGATCCCAAGTTATCCCTTCCTTCCACTCACGCCTTCAGTTCTCTCAATGCCATACATAGATAGAAGAAAGAATAGCCATATGGTGTAATATATTCAATTATAAACAAGATCCAGACTTTAATGTATGTGCTTACATTCATGAAATGTTTAAACCGCATATATTCCCATTTCCCAACCACAAGCAGCTTTCTGGAATGCCGAAATGTAGTGTAACCTCACTTAAGATGGCCGCTCCTCCACTTCCGGTTCTCGTCCAATGTCAAGTCCCTTTACGCGTTTCGTCACTTCCTGACTTCCTCATAAGAGTGGAAGGAAGGGATAGCCTGGGATCTGAAGTTAATCCTGTGGGCTAATTTCTGTTGAAGTGAGGATCCAATGGATTATTATCTCTGGAGGCTCTTATATTACTTATTTAGGGTAAGGGTATGTAATTCAGCCACATAGATGTGTTCACAGAGTGTTCATAGAGGAGTGTGTATATAGAAGTATACACAGAGTGCTTCACTATTTCACGTGTTTTTCACATTTTTGTGTGGTTTTTTGTTTGCACAAAAAAGATTTTTGGATTTAAATATATTTAAATATGATTTAATCACCATTATATTGAGGGCAATACACTATCCAGCTTTTTTTTCTTTTGGAGGTATACAGCATTCTTGGAGATACACAGTGATTATGAATCAGAACTTGGATGAATAATTTTTGGAATTTTTGGAGTTTAAAATATTTTCACTGACACTAGTTTATTATTTACAATTTTGGACTTTCAACTGTGAAAGTGGGACTTAAGTGTCAATATACATGGTGTTTATTATATCACAGCCTATTATAGATATAATTTAGGATACAAATTTCATATCACAGATCTTATTGAAGTATGATCCCTCAGGGATTTCCCACTTTTACAAAAACTGTCTTCCTTTGGGTATTCTTGCACCGCTTAGGAAGCACAAGTAAGGTTGTTCAGATGGTCCCAATCTTTGTAAAGATTGCTTTAAGTGTGAGGGTGCAATGGAAAATACTTGGTTGGTTTGGGCATGTTCCAAGACCCCTTGGCCCAAAGCTTACAGTAGCAAACGTTCTTAAGGACTACCCCTGTGAGAAAAGTAACTGGAGGTATGAGCATCCCCTTGAGAGGATTTGAACAAGGTTATGCGCATCCCCTTTAGAAGATTTGAATGAGGTTTTAGGAAAAATATATTTCATGGCAGAAAACAGAGTGTGATAAGATCCAAAAATAAAACATATTTACAAAAAGGAGATCAAACATAATTACAATATTATTTTTTGATTTATGTAGTTTGGATGTAAGATTATCAAAGAATTTTATTGTCTCAATCAGTCCTTTTATACTCACTGTAATTCCTCTATCTGGCTTGTTGTCAGAGCTGCCATCAGGTCACTGAAATGAGGACCCTCCAGATTGTTCTTCGACAGGTCCAGTATCCTCAGTTTCTGGTTATTTCTTATTCCAGATGCCAGGTGGGGGCAAGAACTGTGTGTCAGGTGATTGGCATACAAACTGAAGAAGAAGAGAAGAACGTTAGCAACAGAAAATTAATTACTTCCCCAGGAATTAATGTAACTATTCTCTACATGAACGGAACTTATTTCTGTTTATTGGAAAATAAGTGAAAATAGAACAGACCTGTATATAACCACAGGAAAACAGAAAGGGGCACCAGACCAAAACTGAATAGAATACTCCAAAAAAATTGTAATTGTTCGTTAGAAAAAAAAAAAAAGTCATACAGATTTTTGGGTAACACCACTGCCTCTTCATAAAGGCTACAAGCATAAGCAAACAATATTATCGTAATAATAATAATGAAAAATTATGTTTAGATATGAATGAGTCTATACCACAAATTCTAAAACATCATATAACAGCAACATCAAACTTGTCACGTGAACGTCAGTTGTCTCAATTGAATGTGAAAATGTTAAAAGGTACAAGCAATATACCATATTTTTCGCTCCATAAGATGCACTTTTTTCCACTCAAAAAATGGGGGGAAATGTCTGTGTGTCTTATGGAGCGAATATGGAGCGACCGGCCCGGTATTGCCCCCATGTTAGAATACCGGGCCGACCACTCAGCTCTTCTCTGCAGACCTCCAGCAGTCCTACCTCTTCCTCGGTCCCAGCAGTGTCCTCAGTCTCCTCTCCCCGGCGCCAGCATGGGTACCCATCTGTGACAGCTTGCGGCTTCACAGCTTGGTACCCACTGCGCAAACGCGAGAAGCGCCGCGCTTTGTGAATGGCCCTGTAATCTTCTGGGACCTGTCACGTGTCCCAGAAGATTATGGGGAGGGAGGGGGAAGGACAACTTTGCAGAAGTGGGAGTGGGTACCTGTCAAATTTCGGGTACCAGCACCCCCCCCCCCCTTTGCTCCCCAAAGGTCCACAGTCTCTGGTCATCTGTACTGTGTCCCCAGTCTCTGGTCATCTGTACTGTGTCCGCAGTCTCTGGTCATCCCCTGTACTGTGTCCGCAGTCTCTGGTCATCCCCTGTACTGTGTCCGCAGTCTCTGGTCATCCCCTGTACTGTGTCCGCAGTCTCTGGTCATCCCCTGTACTGTGTCCGCAGTCTCTGGTCATCCCCTGTACTGTGTCCGCAGTCTCTGGTCATCCCCTGTACTGTGTCCGCAGTCTCTGGTCATCCCCTGTACTGTGTCCGCAGTCTCTTGTCATCCCCTGTACTGTGTCCGCAGTCTCTGGTTATCTCCTGTACTGTGTCCGCAGTCTCTGGTCATCTCCTGTACTATGTCTGCAGTCTCTGGTCATCTCCTGTACTATGTCTGCAGTCCATTGGTTCAGAATATTTTTTTTCCTCCTCTAAAATCTAGGTGTATCCTATGGTCAGGTGCGTCTTATGGAGCGAAAAATACGGTACATAGTAAAACCATAAACAAAGAAAGTGGATGTATAATGTAAACATATATTAACGAAATGTGTAAAAAGTACTGAAATATTAGGCTGCTGAAAAGAGTCATTTGCTACAAAAATAAGTACTAAAAGGAAATATGTACTAAAACACACTAAGAAACCAAGCTGCTGAAATAAAACAAATTGGCTCCTAAAATCAGGAGACTGAGTAGTTGAAATAAAACCATGTCACTGCTTTAATGTGTACTAAAAAATTATAAGACTAAACTTATTTTGTTATAAGACCATACTACTGAAATATGACTAAATGTCATGTACATACGGTGCCAACCCATTTTTATTATAATGCATGCACATTTTGTGTATTTCCCTCTGCATAGCTTGTTCTTGTTGCCTGCTGTTCATACATGTTTACCGTTACTTATGAAAGAACTTTGACAGTGAAGGTTCTTTTCCTTACGGTTCATACTTTCATAGCTCATACACATTTCATTTTCTATTTTATTTTTTCATAAGATTCCCCCATCAAGAATTATAAATTCATTAATTTAAAAAAAAAATCCACCATGTTGGATCAGTCACTTTCAGTTGTGAAATGAAAAATAGTGTGTTGCTGTGGGTACACTAATGATGTGAAAGCCGAAAGCTCTGTCTGTCAGAAAGAATTTACATTCGGGTTTTCTACTCATCTATGGTCTGCTTAAGTCTAGCAGGAGTGGTCCCAGTACTTGAACACATTGATCAGTGGCAACCTGAGTCTGATTAAGTAGCTGTATTAATACTAACATGTTTGCATATAGAGGAAATCAGCAGTTGATTAGACTATATTCATGAAAAAAGTTGTGACAGCAGTAAAGATGATTGACCTCTATAGTGGTCATATTTGTATCAGAGCTATAGAAACCGCTATATTAATACCTTAACATTAGACAGTGTGTGGGAAAAGGTGTACAGGGAAACACCTCAACACAAAATTAACTTGGATGAAATTAATGACTTAACAGATCTGTATCAGATAATGAATAACAACCAAAGTTTGTGCCATGAATACAATGAAAAAGAGTCATGAGGGTGCATGTGTGTGGTGGAGGAAGATGGCTGAGTGATCTCTCTGCTCCACCTGGGCATTACTGGAGCTATCCGAAGCTCACTAAACACCCTGCGCTATATGCTCCTCCACTGCAGAGTCCGATGCCATTTCTCTGTTTGCCAGGACCAGCTGCTTGGTCTGTTGCATCCACTCCAATGTTCCTGCACAGAGGAACTAGGTGTGTGGAAGAAGATTTGGAGATCCTAACAGGAGGTCCACAGGCATTCAGCTATATTGCCTGAACATTAAGAAGAAGGGCATGTGGCCAGTGTACAGTGGTGTTGTAGGTCCACACTACGGCTCCTATGTGTTGGTGCCATCTGTCCTGGTAACTCAGTTCAAAGGTCCATAATGTAAGTTATCTTCAGGATGACTGGGTAGACTATCTACCTACGGCAGAGTTTGCCTATAACAATGCTAAACATAGCTCCACCTCCCAAAGCCCTTTTTTCCTCAATACAGAGTACCATCCAGTTTTTTATTCCTGATCTCCCTATAGCAACTCAAATTCCTGCTGTTGCCAACAGATTAACTACATTACAGGAGATTAAGGCGAAGTTGATCGAGACTTTGGGGGAGGCTCAGGAATGTTATAAAAGGGATGCCGACAGTCATCGCAGATCACTTCCTACCTTTCATGTGGGCGACAAAGTTTGGGTATCAACCAAAACTCTGAAGGTTCATGTTCCATCTGCAAAGTTGGACCAAACGTTTGTGGGACCTTTCCAGATTTCTGCTCAGATCAACCCAGTCAACTTTCGCTTAAAACTTCCTGACAGTATGAAGATTCAGCCTGTTTTTCACGTATCACTTTTCAAACCATTTCATGAAAACCTTTCTCTGGAAGAATTCTTCCACCTCCTTCACCTATTGAGGTACACGGTGAAGAAGAATATGTGGTGGGGAAGATTCTTGACTCTAGGATGTTTAGAGGAAAATTGCAATATCTTGTCCAGTGGGAAGGATATGGGCAAGAGGAGAATTCTTGGGAGCCTGAAAAATATGTTCATGCTGCTAGATTAACAAGAGAATTCCACCAGAGGTTTCCCCACAAGCCTGGTCCTAAGACGTCCAGGGGACGTCCTGTGAGGAGGGGAGTACTGTCAGAGCCTGCATCCGAACCTGGGCCTTCTGCGGTGAGAGGCAATGTTTCTTACAATATTTTGCACAGTGGGGGACGTGAAATCTATAGTCCGTGCTCCCCAGTTGATGGAAGGATTGTGAGTGGAGAACCCAGGAATGCCCAGGATGATGGGGAAACTTGGGTTATGTAATCAGCTGAAAGCTGATGGTCTCACAATTGTCAGCCTCAAACAGCAGTACCAGGGGAACTGGTTTATGGGTAACAGGTCCTGAAGATAAGGGTGAACCATCAACTATCTCCATATCAATAGGGGTAAATGTATTTCTTGCATAATTATTATTGCTGTGGGCAAATTCTATATCCATAAAGTTCTCCCCAGCCCCAGAGTCCAGCATAGCTGAGCAGGAGATTTCACGGCCCTCAGAGACAAGTTTAATGGGGATGACAAAATGAGAGAGTAGTGAGTTCACTTTATTTTCTTCAGGAATCAGTGGGGAGACAGACTGGCTAATAGAGTTTATTTGTTCAGGCACAATCACATCAGCCATAGCAATTGATCTTCTAACTTTGTTAGGACAATTAACTGCATAATGACCAGAGTCCTCACAATATAGACATAAGTTCTCTCTCTCTCCTGAATGGAATGGATCTCTTGATAGCATCAACCTGCATAGGCTCGGGAGTGTTAGAACCCAGAGAGACTCTTGAATCCTGCTGAACAAATGGACTAGCATAGAGATGCATGCCCCTATTACTTCCAAACATTCCCAGCCTCTCCTTCCTCCTTTCTGTAAGTCTTTGATCGATTCGGATACATAATTGGATGAATTCCTCAAGATCATTAGGAATATCTACTCTGGCAAGCTCATCCTTTACCTGTTCAGAAAGCCCTTGGCGGAACTAGCTTTTTTGTGCTGCAGGGTTCCAAGTGGTGTCTGCGATCAGCGACCGAGCGTTTACCCTGCCTCAGACTATGCAACTTTGCTTCGGCAGTAGCACAATGGTTGGGATCATCAAAAACCAGATTCATCGCGGTCAAAAAGGTATCGAAATCATTCAGAGTGACATTGTCTTGTTCTATATAAGGGGAGGCCCAAGCTTGAGCTTCCCCATTCAGCAGTCCAGTAATAAACATTACCTTCTTTTTCTCTGAAGGAAATGCAGAAGGGTACATTGGGAAATATATACGACATTGATTAAGAAAACCCCTGTAGTGGCGGCAGTCTCCATTAAACTTAGATGGTTGGGGCTGAGGCATATGTGAGTTGGTATCATCTCGCTTCAGCAGTTGTCTCTGCAGAGTCTGAATCTTTCCCTGTTGCCTATCCACTATGCTTTCTAGTTTGGCAACTTTTTCCTGATGGGTCACCCGATTGCTGCAGCTCAGCAATTTGCTGCATAAGAGGAGCCACAACGTTTGCTATAGCGGCCTCCATGTTTGGGCCAGATTATTCTGTCACGAACAGGGGTCAGGTTCAGAGACCAGTTGTTATAGCAGTGTAAAGCTAACCTGAAACCAGCAGGATAGGTACACCAGCAGGTCACCCTGGGATATGACACAGGCTCACCTGAGGTGCGGGGTCTAAGCACTAACCGGTTTTCACCAGAGCTCCTAATGGTGGAGATGGATTTGGCTGCATGTTAGTATCAGGTCGCAGTTCTCAGGATCACCCCACCAGGGAATGAGCAAGCTGGAATCTAATAGCAGATGGAGCAGGTAGGGATCTGGCAGAAGCGGAGTCAGTCAACAAGCCAAGGGTCAGTAACAAGCAGTAGTAGATGGGATGAGGCAGAATCGTAGTCCAGGAACAAGCCAAATGTCGGTAGCGAAGGTATAGATGGCAGCAGAAGAGACAAGCGAGATACTGGCTGGAGAAGGCACAATAATCTGGCAAACAGGAAATGCAGAGACATGGCTTTTATCAGGAAGTTCATGGGAGGAGCAAGGGGTTCAAGGTTCAAGATAAATAAGGTCAAGGTAGGATCATCCAAATAATTGTCAAGGGTGCTGTCCAGCATTCCAGGTGGCTCAGCAAGAAGAAACATTGCCTCTCACCGCAGAAGGCCCAGGTTTGGACCCAGGCTCTGACATTGCATTGCTACCACATAATGAGTGAGACTTTCATCCTCCTGTTTCCTGACAAAAAATCTCTGCCTCAAATCCGAGACAGATACATTTTCTCCAAACAGGCCCTCTAGGCAGGACATTGTTCTAATGTAGCTCACTTCTCCTCTTGCAGCACGATCACCGCTTGGTGGATGTCATCCTCTAGGGCAGTGGTGGGCAACCTTTTTTTTCAACTGAGCCAAATCTCGCCAAAACCATGATTGAAATTTATTTTGAGAGCCACATTTTTAAAACTGAAAATACATCTCCCATATAGTAATTCATCCCCCCCATAGTAATTCATCCCCCATATAGTAATTCATCCCCCATAGTGTAATTCATCCCCCATAGTGTAATTCATCCCCCATAGTAATTCATCCCCCATAGTAATTCATCCCCCATATAGTAATTCATCCCCCATATAGTAATTCATCCTCCATATAGTAATTCATCCCCCATAGTAATTCATCCCCCATATAGTAATTCATCCCCCATAGCAATTCATCCCCCGTATAGTATTTCATCCCTCGTATAGTATTTCATCCCCCGTATAGTATTTCATCCCCCGTATAGTATTTCATCCCCCATATAGTATTTCATCCCCCATATAGTATTTCATCCCTCATATAGTATTTCATCCCCCATATAGTAATTCATCCCTCATATAGTATTTCATCCCTCATATAGTATTTCATCCCCCCATATAGTATTTCATCCCTCATATAGTATTTCATCCCCCCATATAGTATTTCATCCCTCATATAGTATTTCATCCCTCATATAGTAATTCATCCCTCATATAGTATTTCATCCCCCCATATAGTAATTCATCCCTCATATAGTATTTCATCCCCCCATATAGTATTTCATCCCCCCATATAGTATTTCATCCCTCATATAGTAATTCATCCCTCATATAGTATTTCATCCCCCCATATAGTATTTCATCCCCCCATATAGTATTTCATCCCCCCATATAGTATTTCATCCCTCATATAGTAATTCATCCCTCATATAGTATTTCATCCCTCATATAGTATTTCATCCCTCATATAGTATTTCATCCCCCATATAGTATTTCATCCCCCCATATAGTATTTCATCCCCTCATATAGTATTTCATCCCTCATATAGTATTTCATCCCCCCATATAGTATTTCATCCCTCATACAGTAATTCATCCCTCATATAGTAATTCATCCCCCATATAGTATTTCATCCCTCATATAGTATTTCATCCCCCCATATAGTATTTCATCCCTCATATAGTAATTCATCCCCCCATATAGTATTTCATCCCCCCATATAGTATTTCATCCCCCCATATAGTATTTCATCCCTCATATAGTAATTCATCCCTGACATAGTAATTCATCCCCCATATAGTATTTCATCCCCCCATATAGTATTTCATCCCTCATAAAGTAATTCATCCCTCATATAGTATTTCATCCCCCACAGTACTATTCCCCCCCCCCCCCTTCTAGTAAGCCAAGTCCCCCGTGTCAATTCACTTACCTTTTGCGTTCCTCTCGCTGTCTTCCCGCGCCGTTCGGGTCTTCAGGGCGGACTGTGAGAGGAGCCTAGCTCCCCTCCCCTCACGTTCGGCACGCTGCCCCGCCTACACACATCCTGACAGCCACATCCGCAAGCCGGATTAAAAGGTCCGCGCGGACTTTTGGGGCTGCCAACCGAGAGGAGGCAGGGGAGCGGCCGACCGAGAGGAGGGAGGGGAGCAGGCGCCCGGCACACAGAAGAGCCGCATTAGACTGGGTAAAGAGCCGCATGTGGCTCGCGAGCCGCGGCTTGCCGACCACTGCTCTAGGGCATTAATAGCCAGCTCCACCATTAGCTGAGCTGGGACCTGGTACAGGTGCACGGCACTCTCCAGTCTTTCCTCTCACTCAGCCAAAGGATGTCTGAGCCATAAAATTTAGGTAACAGGGCTAAGGCTGGAGCCATCATGGAGCCTAATTCTCCTTTTACACCATCTGCAAGGGACATATCCTGTTGACTGCCACCAAGTGTAGGGTGGTGCAGTGGAGTAATTACTTTGAGTCCAGATGCAGGAACAAGAACTTGTATTAAAAGAAAGGCTCAACTCAACAGTCATCCCAACGGGAGAGCACCATGTTGGGAAACACTCACAGTTTAATGTGACTTGAGAACACAGCAGGTTAGGATGCACCAACAGCATCTGTATCAGAGGATGGAGTGTGGCCTGGCTGGCCCATTGAAGGATATCTGCTTCTGGGATAAGCTTCCAGATTATGGGGAAGGGAGGATCAAATATTCAGGTATGAATTATCATGCCTCAGCCAATGCCTGGAAGGGGGTATCCAGAAACCTGGTGGGGAGGTGATAAATATGGGGATGCCTTTCCAGATTGTTTTTCCTCTGCTAGGTGGGTTCTAGTTCTCATGGGTCTGCTGCCCCTGGGAGGAAGCTATACTAATGCCCTGTACACATGATGAGAATAAAACGTACGAACGATCGGCTGGGTTTTTTTCACCTGCTTGTCTCACATCGAAAGTGAAAAGGTTACTAAAGATATGAAAATTCTTCTATGAAAGAAAAGAATTTCTAAAGTGATGTCATGTATTGCGTTGTATTTGTATTGTATTTTCAGATGACTACTGTTCTGATTAAACAAAAATCGTACATTTTGGTATCGTACGAGAAATATTTTTTGTGCTTGTCCCTTCAGATATTGTCATACGAATTATCGTGATCGGCTCTCAAAAGCTGTGCACTAACGATCCGATTATCAGATGATCAGTCCTCGAAAGAAAATTTTTCGTATGATTTTCTTATAGTGTGTACGGGGCATAAGATAAGAATTGCAGTTTGGGCCTCAGCAGCTGCTGAACTGAGTGCCTGAAAACAATTAATAAGGTTTTTTTTGTTGGAGGGCCCTGTCCTGAAGTCCTGGTCTGGAAAAGGATCTTTTCTTCTCGCTGAGGAACTACCAGCGGAAGCTGGGTGGCAGTCAACTCCTGGGATATTGTAAGTAAGACCTACTGTGTAATTTCAGGTGTACCTGCAGTTATAAGAATTTGTGCTAGAAGTTTGTCCATCTATTGATCGCTTTGGAGTATCCTGAACCCCTGAACCTCTCTCCTATTTCATGTTATTCAGCAATAAATTCTATAGATATTCTTAAAATTGTCCCAGTATATTATTGTCTTACTCAGTCCTATTATACTCACTGTAATCTCTCTATCCAGCTTGTTGTCAGAGCTGCCATCAGATCACTGAAATGAGGACCCTCCAGATAGTTATCAGACACATTCAGTGTCCTCATTGTCTGGTTATTTCTTATTCCAGATGCCAGGTGGGGGCAGGAACTGTCTGTCAGATGATTTCTTTCCAAACTGAGAGAAGAGAAGAATGTTATCAAAATAAAATTAATTTCTCCCCAGGAATGAATGTAATTATTGTCTGCATGAATGAAACTCACTTCCCCTTACTGCAATCAAAGGGGAAATTTAAATAGATATGTTTATCTATAAAACATTCAGTTTCGATTTAGTTTTGCATATACTCTTTATTTAGAAGAAATATTGGGCTCAATTCACTAAACAAAATTTACTGCTTTGGAATTTGTACTAAAATTCCGCATGGCATTTTTCAGAAACATTTTTGTAATTTGTCAGAAAACGCTTAAAAAATAAAGCATGTGTTATTACTGTAAAATGTGCTTTATTAATCTCATGAAAACATTTGGTATTTTATCGCTTGGATGCAGTGCGAAGTGAAACATTTAGCAGTGGCATACTTACCACTGCTAGATGTGACATTCAGGTCATGGCTACTGGTTGTTAAGGAGTCAGCACTTGCGGGTATCCTAACAACTTTGACTCATTCCTGCTGTCAAGACAAAATCCATGGATTTGCTAAGACACAGAACAAGACAACACAAGTAGGAAGTGGCACTGGTAAGCTGGTAAGTAGAAAAGGGCCCCTTCCAAGAACCTTGACGTTTGAACGTCAGCATCCTTGGACTCAAGGTATCATGGGTGTGATTGATAAGGGACTATGGAGTCAATTCACTAAGAGTTATAGAACAACTGAATAAATGCGGTAAAATACACATGCGGTAAAACATTTACAAATGTGCAATTCGCTAAGAATTTTGCAGTAAAATATAATTATTGCAGTAATTACCACATAATTTTATGTGGTAAATTTATTGCACAGTAGCTGTTGTTAAGGAAGCCAGCCTCCCAGCCCTTAACAACAAATGACTCATCAGCTGTCAGCAGTTTCCCGATGACAGCTGAATGTAAAAAAGAGAAGAATTGCCGGCAATTATAAATTAATTTAAATACCAGCATGGGGTCCCCCCCACCCATACCAAGCCCTTTGGGACTGGTACGGATTTTAAAAGAAACACACACAACAATTTTTTTTTTTTTTTTTAAATGGCATGGGGGTCCCCTCCAAAATCAATTCCAGACCCTTATCTCAGCATGCAGCCTGGCAGGTCGGGAATGAGGGGGGGGGGGAAATGAGCGCTCGCCCCACCGGACCATACCAGGCCACACGCCCTCAACATGGAGGGTGCTTTGGGGCAAGAGGGCTCCCCCCCCAAAAAAACCATCTCCCCTAGTTGATGGGGACAAGAGCCTCTTCCCCACAACCTTGGTTGGTGCTTTTGGGGGTCTGTGGGCGGGGGGGCTTATCAGAATCTGGAAGCCCGCTTTAACAAGAGAGGGACCCCAGATCCCCCCCCCCCATGTGAATGAGTATGGGGTACATAGTACCGCTACTCATTCAAAAAAGCCAGCATCTAGAGTGGAGCATTTTTTCTTTTCATTTTTTGAGTCGGCGACGGCAGGCATCGTGATTGACACGAGGGGGACAGTTTTTCTTAAATATTTGTTTTTTTTAATAAAGGACTTGTCAAAGACTGCCTACTGTGGTTTTTTACACTACACTTTTTTTTTTGAATGAGTAGCGGTACCATGTACCCCATACTCATTCACATGGAGGAGGATCTGGGGTCCTTTTCTTGTTAAAGAGGGCTTCCAGATTCTGATAAGCCCCCCGCCAACAGACCCCCAAAACCACCAACCAAGGTTGTGGGGAAGAGGCCCTTGTCTCCATCAACATGGGGGGATGGTTCTTTGGGGGGGAGCCCTCTTGCCCCAAAGCACCCTCCATGTTGAGGGCATGTGGCCTGGTATGGTCCGGGTGGGGAGGGGGGGCGAGCGCTCATTTCCCCCCCCCCATTCCCGACCTGCCAGGCTGCATGCTCGGATAAGGGTCTGGAATTGATTTTGGAGGGGACCCCCATGCCATTTAAAAAAAAACAATGTGTGTGTTTCCCTCAAAATCTGTACCAGACCCAAAGGGCTTGGTAAGGATGGGGGGGGACCCCATGCTGGTTTTTAAATTAATTTATAATTGTCGGCAATTCTTGTTTTTTACATTCAGCTGTCATCGGGGAAACTGCTGACAGCTGATGAGTCATCTGTTGTTAAGGGCTGGGCGGCTGGCTTCCTTAACAACAACTACTGTAAAGAATTCACAATGTCACCGCTAGATCCGCCCAATTGTTTACATCTGACCGGCAACTGTCAGACCTGACAGACTGCAGTGAGTGGTTGAAGGGTGCAGATGGGCTTCGGCTTTTTCTTATTGCAGTGAGTCGGTGTCATCATGAAAACGCTGAATGCCGTGATTGACGATGGAATAATTTTTTGGCTTTTTTTTTTTAAATAAAAGGAAGTTTTGTTCTATTTTTTGTTCAATAAAGGATTTTTTTCAAAAGACTGGTATTTTTTTTTTCTCACTACATTTAACCATTTAGTAAAGGAATAAGGGTACAAACATCAGATGCCCCCTTATTTAAAAAGGGTACTCCTGATTGTAATGAGCTCCCCCACAACCACGGGGCCAGGGTTGCAGGGAAGAGGCCCTTGTCTCAGTCAGCATGGGGATACTGTCCCAACGCTGAGGGCATGTGGCATGCTAAGTGCAGACCTGTGCCCAGATGTCTGGTAGGAATTTAGGGGGGACCCCACACTTTTTTCCCTAATTTTTTGGGGGTGGAGTTCTTAAAATTCCTGGTATGGCTTTTAGGAGGAACCCCACACACTTCCTCCCCCCCGCCATTTTTGGGAGGTGGGTCCCTCCTAACCCAAAGAATCTGGTATGGATAAGGAGGGGGGAGCTGTTTTTTATATATATATATATATATATATATATATATATATATATACATACACATACATACACATACACAGTGGGGCAAAAAAGTATTTAGTCAGCCACCAATTGTGCAAGTTCTCCCACTTAAAAAGATGAGAGAGGCCTGTAATTGGCATCATAGGTAGACCTCAACTATGAGAGACAAAATGAGAAAAAAAATCCAGACAATCACATTGGCTGATTTGGAAGGAATTTATTTGCAAATTATGGTGGAAAATAAATATTTGGTCAATATCAAAAGTTCATCTCAATACTTTGTTATATATCCTTTGTTGGCAATGACAGAGGTCAAACGTTTCCTGTAAGTCTTCACAAGGTTGGCACACACTGTTGCTGGTATGTTGGCCCATTCCTCCATGCAGATCTCCTCTAGAGCAGTGATGTTTTGGGGCTGTCGCTGGGCAACACGGACCTTCGACTCCCTCCAAAGGTTTTCTATGGGGTTGAGATCTGGAGACTGGCTAGGCCACTCCAGGACCTTGAAATGCTTCTTACGAAGCCACTCCTTCGTTGCCCGGGCGGTATGTTTGGGATCATTGTCTTGTTGGAAGACCCAGCCATGTTTCATCTTCAATGCCCTTGCTGATGGAAGGAGGTTTGCATTCAAAATCTCACGATACATGGCCCCATTCATTCTGTCCTGTACATGGATCAGTCGTCCTGGTCCCTTTGCGGAGAAACAGCCCCAAAGCATGATGTTGCCACCCCCATGCTTCACAGTAGGTATGGTGTTCTTTGGATCCAACTCAGCATTCTCTCTCCTCCAAACACGACGAGTTGTGTTTCTACCAAACAGTTCTATTTTGGTTTTATCTGACCATATGACATTCTCCCAATCCTCTTCTGGATCATCCAAATGCTCTCTAGCAAACTTCAGACGGGCCCGGACATGTACTGGCTTAAGCAGGGGGACACGTCTGGCACTGCAGGATCTGAGTCCCTGGCGGCGTAGTGTGTTGATGGTAGCCTTTGTTACGTTCGTCCCAGCTCTCTGCAGGTCATTCACTAGGTCCCCCCGTGTGGTCCTGGGATTTTTGCTCACTGTTCTTGTGATCATTTTGACCCCACGGGGTGAGATCTTGCGTGGAGCCCCAGATCGAAGGAGATTATCAGTGGTCTTGTATGTCTTCCATTTCCTAATTATTGCTCCCACAGTTGATTTGTTCACACCAAGCTGCTTACCTATTGCAGATTCAGTCTTCCCAGCCTGGCGCAGGTCTACAATTTTGTTTCTGGTGTCTTTTGACAGCTCTTTGGTATTCACCATAGTGGAGTTTGGAGTGTGACTGTTTGAGGTTGTGGACAGGTGTCTTTTATACTGATAACAAGTTCAAACAGGTGCCATTGATACAAGTAATGAGTGCAGGACAGAGGAGCCTCTTAAAGAAGAAGGTACAGGTCTGTGAGAGCCAGAAATCTTGCTTGTTTGTAGGTGACCAAATACTTATTTTCCACCATAATTTGCAAATAAATTCTTTCCAAATCAGCCAATGTGATTGTCTGGATTTTTATTCTCATTTTGTCTCTCATAGTTGAGGTCTACCTATGATGCCAATTACAGGCCTCTCTCATCTTTAAGTGGGAGAAACTTGCACAATTGGTGGCTGACTAAATATTTTTTTTGCCCCACTGTATATATATATATATATATATATATATATATATATAATATCAGTCCAAACATTCATTAGGTTTGAATGTTCGACCATGAGCCGAACAGCCTATCACTACTCCCCATCCAAGTTACCTTTAAAAGAAAAACACCAAAAAGAACTAGACTGATCACTGAGCCAAAGAGTGACTGTGACTGTGTGCCTGGTTACGGGCCAACAACGAGGAAAAAGAGCCCTGGGCATCATTCAAGCAGTTCCTACGGGGGTAGCGCTACAGACAGGAACTCAACTCTCTTCTTATGTTGGATCATTCTGAATTTGAATTCATCATTTCAAAACAAATGTATTTCTCTGTAAAAGTGAAGTATTAACTGATGAGTTCACATTAGATACAAAGTCTGTATATAATCTAAAAAAAAAAACTAATGATTTATAATTTTTCTGGTAAAAACACCTGAAAATGCCAAATTAACATTATATTTAATATTTACCTCAAACTTTTGATAATGTGTAGAGCTGGCATAAGCTTCCTCAATCCTTCACTCTGAATATTACATAAATTTAGGTTTAATTCTGTCTCTTTACAGGATTGAAGGATAAAAGACAGCACAGAGCAGTCCAAAGGGCTGAAGGGGATACCAGAAAAGTCAACATGTTTGATTGCTCCAACACATTGTGACACCAGAGCCTTATTCCTGGTCTCATGGAGACAGTAGAATACATCAAGAAGCTCTCTGGTGCCTCTTCTTGATTTCTCAGATCTTTGTTCTGCAATTTTCTCCTGAATCCAGGTTATGACATGTCTGGCAGCCTGAGTAGACAATTCTCCCACATGAGACTTTAACATTGATCTAGTAGAAGAGTCAGAGAGACCGCAAAGGAAACGGAGGAATATTTCAGCACGGCCGTCTTTGCAATGGTTTACCTCATCAAGTGTTTCCTTTAATCTTTGAGGATTATAGTTAATAAAATGGACTAAAGCAGCAAAAAACTCCTGAAGCGTGAGATGTAAGAAGGTGTAATCCACACCAGGAGGCTGACCAGACTCCATCATGAAAGATGAAAAGACATGTTTATCATTTCTCACACCAAAAATGAGTCCAGATGACGCTCATCAAATACAATCATGTGATTCATGACTCCATGTTCTGCCATCAACCCAATAGATGTCAGCAGTTCCCAAACAGTGTGACCACTATCTTTATTCTGGCTGTGATTGGCCAGAATGTTGGAGACAAAAGTCACAAAGAGTTGTGTCATGGTTTTGGGTGGAATGTTGGAGAAAAAAGTCACAAACAATTCCGTAACTGTTTTGGGTAGAATGTTCGAAACAAAATTCACAAAGCCTTGTGTCAAATGGGCTTTGAAGCAGATTGATAACACTGTACAGATGATCCAGCAGTATGATGGGATATAACAGAAAGTGTACAGTGTGTCATGCTCCTGCACATAATGAAAAGCCTTTTCTGCTAATTCCTTATTTCCAAAGAAATTATTAAAAAAGCTTAGTCTGTCTCCATGGAGAAATCCCATGATGTCAGTTATTCTCTGGAAATCATCAGTATTAACTGATGTCAGTCTGGTTGGGCGGCTGGTTATCAGTACAGAGCAACCCTTAAGAAGACTCTGTTTTACCAGACTGGTCACAATCTCACCAAAATGTGTTCTACGATCGGTATAGGTACACACGCTAAATGATCTGAAATCTATTTCAACACTTTCATCTAAGCCGTCAAATATAAACAGAAGTCTCTCCGGATCTTGTAAAATATTTTCAATCTGATTCTTCAGATATGGATATTTATGAAGAATCATTTCCTCCAAGCTGACCTCTCCCAGTCTATTAAGGTCCCGAAATCTGAAGAAGAACACAAAAGCAAATCTCTGGTAGTGTTTTCCAGTCACCCAGTCATAGACAAACTTCTGCATCAATGTGGTCTTCCCTATTCCTGGCACTCCGCTCACCATTACTATATGTGGTACACATTGGGACTGGCGGCTCCATCGAAACAGCCTGTTGGGGGAAATGTGTTCCAGTCCAGATTGTGTTTCCTTCAAACATTCCTCATGTTTTACCCCAGTCTGGATTAGCTCATTCTGGGGACGCTGCCTAAACTGATCAGTGGAGACTACAACCAGCTTCACATAACGTTCATTGATGAGAAAAGTTTGTGTTTCCAGAGTAGTTCCTGGGGGTCTATGCTCCACTAAAGTCTCAGTCTTCTCCATCATATGGTGTTTGTGTTTTTCCTGAACATCTGGAAATACAGTATAATATTAACATTTAATGCCTAGAATTTTGGCAGAAATTAACATTGTAATGTTTGGTCTATGTAAACATTCGGCTACTTATATTCTGAATGTAGATCTTTGAGTACTTATTATAGGTTCATATAATTTTAATTCAATGACACAAGTAGTATACAGACAAATGATTAGTTAGTAAAACTAATTTTATTACAGGCATTTGTATAGCACCAACAAATTTTGCTTTACATACTGTACATTCACAGCAGTCTCTGCCCTCACATTCTAAGGTGCTTTTTTTCACATACATACTTAAATGCACACTAGGACGAATTTCTATAATTTTTGATAGGAGACAACCAAGAGTATAAAGGACAACCCAGGGGCGACCCCTGCTGGTAGCCAAACCCCCACCTGCAACACACATTCAGTTAGTAGCCAGCAGTAGCAAACAGGACCCAAGACAAGCAACCACTAAAACAGGGCAGATACTGTTTCTTTCAATTAAAGATTTTGCAGCAAATACAAAAATCTCATCTTCTCTTTCGTTCATTGAAAGATACAGCTGGATCAGTAGATTGACACCAAAAGGACATCCCAAAGCAGTGCCAGATAAAAGGATGGGTCAAAAAACTAGGCAGTGACCATCCTGACAGAAGCTAGATGTAAACTTTTCCAACCAAAATTAGCATAGGCAAAAGCATGACAACTTTGTAGACCTTGGTATTGCTGTGAACAGACAACAAAGTAGTCACCTTTCAATCTTTAGAGACAGAAGCAGAGGGATGAAAGGCCTAGGACACAGTCAGAGTCCTGGTAAATTGAACCGTAATGAGGAACAAAGATTCTTTGTCCAAAAGAGTGTAGGCTTGAACTATCTTCCTACGAATCTATCAAGAGAAAGTAGATGGCGAGGCCTTCTGTTTTCTCCTGAGATCATCTGGAACAATGAACAGGGAATCACTCTTCTCGATAGGGCAGTAGATTCCAAGTAAAATAAAATGGCTGACACTAAATCCAACTAATGAAGTGCCACTTCCTTTGGATGGGCTGGACTGGGACATAAGGAAGGCAGAACAATGTCCTCATTCAAATCAAAAGCTGACAACTTTTGGCAAAAAAAAGGACAACTCAGGACAGAGAACCTCTTTTTCCTGATGAAGAACTAAAAAACAGCAGTTTACAAGAAACAGCAGTCAGCTCCAACACCATGCAAGCCAAGGTGATGGCTAGCAAAAAAGGCTACTTTCTTAAAAAGAGTCAGGATACAGTGGCATCATTGGTGGTCTAGAAGGGGGAACAACCTGTGTAACCCCTTGAAAGAGTATGGAAGGAAAGAGAAGCTAAGTGACATTGAAACAGAACAGCCAAAGCAGAAACCTGACCTTTTTCAGTGCTGAGGGCTAGACGTCAATCATGACAGATTGCAGAAAGGCCATAGTATGCAGAAAACCTGCAAGGATGAAATCCCAGTGATTCACATCAGGCGAAACAGGCGTTCCAGGTATGGTAGTAAATGAAGTGGCAGGTGGACTTCCTGGTTTTGAAGCATGGTGGAAATAGCAGCTGAGGAGAGACCTCTACCCTTTAACATCTGTGTTTCAACAGCCAGGTTGTTAAAAGAAGTGACTGTTAAGTAGAGTGGAATATTAGGACTGGGGAAAACGGTCTGTAAAAAGGGGAAAATGCCAGGGTACTTTGGTGATGTCTGAATGAGGTTTTTGAACTAAGCCTTGCAAGGCCAATCTGGGGCTAGCAGGAGCACAGGAGGGTCCTCATATTCTATCCCCTGCAATAACCATGTAAAGAGCTTCAGAGGAGGGAAGGCATAGCAGAAAGTGTACTTGTTCTATGGGGTCACTAGAGCATCCACCAAATTGGCCCATGGATCCTTTGTTCTGACCAAAAATCTGGGAATCTTCTGACTGAGTTTGGATGCAAATAGATCTTTCTTTGGGTATGTCTCTGGACCCATGGGAGGGGAAGGTTCAAGGTCTGACTGTCAGATGCAGAAGCAGGTGGGGAAGGGATTTTTTTTAGGGACCTTGTGGAAAACACTCTCTCCATGCTAGAAGCAAACCCCTCAATAGTGGTGGTAAAGTCATCAAAAGTTACAGGTGGCCCAGGGAATGTTGACGCCACCTGAACTGCATCCAAGTTTTCAAGGATGGGGACTGACAGGCAACACAGAAAGGGTCTACAAGCCAAGGTGATTGTTAACAAAAAAGGCTACTTTCTTAGAAAGGAAATATTATTGACCATTCCACAACCAGCACAAGAAAGGAGGTGGTCTCTTTCAGCACAGTGCCTGGCCGCTTTCCAACTCAACCTCCTTTGCTCTGTCATGGTTACCCAGTGAAGTGGAGACAGGGAAGTGCATTATTATCATGGAATACTCACATTCTGGTCACAATCCCCAGGAGACAAAAGCAATGGTAAACTCAGCTACAGGTCTGGTTGTGGCCATACACCATGTAGGACTGTCCCTCTATAGCCCCAGAAGGCAAAGCTCCCAGTGGAAAGAGATTGAGGGTAAACCATCAATAAATATGCCCATCACACCTCAGGTGAGACCCCGGAGAGTGTCAGTGGTGGAGGGATAGATTGGGAGTCACCCAGGCTACAGGCAGAGTATTGGCCCCTAGAGGCTGATTGTGAAGGTCCTCAGATGACACTAAGGAAGAATAGAGCAGGGGGGACACTACAGAGGATCTAGACTCTCTGACAGGACCATCAGACAGTTGGATGCAGCTGCTCAGCCATGGATACCCACTCCATGAAGCTCTGTACATACTGTTGTTGTGCTAATCTAAATGCTACATGAAGTTTGGAAGTCTTTAGCCATTGACTCTGTAGACAATTGGCGACTTCTGCGCACTATGCGCTTCAGCATACACTGACCCCGCTCTGTCATTTTACGTGGTTGCTGTTGTTTCCAGTTGCTTCCACTTTGTTATAATACCACTAAGAGTTGACCGTGTAATATTTAGAAGCAAGGAAATTTCATGGATGGAGTTATTGCACAGGTGGCTAATTATTACAATACCACAACTGAATTCGCTCCTGAGAGTGACCCATTATTTCACAATTTTTTTTTAGAAGCAGTCTGCATGCCTAGGTGCTTGATTTTATACACCTGTGGCCATGGCAGTGATTGGAACACCTGAATCCAATGATTTGGAGCGGTGTCCCAATACTTTTGGCAATATAGTGTATTTACACACACACTATATAAAACTTTTTTTTATTTAAGTGAAACTTCACTCTCTCAACCAATACTGACTATGTTTAATGTTTAGATTGTAATCTCTAATGAGCAGGGCCCTCTGATCCCTCCTGTATTCATTTGTAATTGTACTGTCTGCCCTTATGTTGTAAAGGACTATATAAATCCTGAATAATAATAATAATAATCCTTATGCTGCTAGCATTAGTATATAGGAAAGTATATCATGTTTGCTTGTTTAAAACTTTTTTACATGCCTAGACAAATTATGTCATACATCCCAGGAGTCTTCAGGAAGGGAGGAGGGGTTTTCTCAACTAACTATGCTACATGAATCATCTGCCCTTACTTAAGATGGCCACAGCCATAAATGGCGGGGGTGTTTTTTAAAGTGATTTCTCAGGAAAATAAAAGCATGGAGACATGGATGGATGGGGGAATTTGCTTTGAAAAAAATGAATTAAAAAGCGTTTTTGGTTTGTGGTGCTCAGATGCAGTGTAGTTCTGCTTTAACCACTTGCCTACCGGGCACTTATACCCCCTTCTTTACCAGGCCAATTTTCAGCTTTTAGCGCTGTTGCACTTTGAATGACAATTGCGCGGTTATGCAAGATTGTACCCATATGAAATTTTTATCATTTTTTTCTCACAAATAGAGCTTTCTTTTGGTGGTATTTAATCGCTGCTGGGCACTTTACTTTTTGCACTATAAACAAAAAAAGTGCAAAAAATTTGAAAAAAAAAGTTTCTTTGTTTCTATTATACAATTTTTCAAACAGGTAATTTTTCTCCTTCACTGATGTGCGTTGATGAGGCAGCACTAATGGGCACTGATAGGCGGCACTGATAGGTAGCACTGATGGGCACTGAAGGGCATGGATAGGCGGCACTGATAGGCAGCACTAATGAGTGTCACGTATAGGAGGCACTGATTATGGGTACTGATAGACAGCACTGATAGGTGATACTGACTGGCATCACTGCTGGGCACTGACTGGCAGCACTGCTAGACATTGACTGGCGCAACTGCTGGGCACTGACTGGCACAACCGCTGGGCACTGACTGGCTGCACTGGTGGGCACAGGTGGGTGGCACTGCTGGGCAAAGGTAGGTGGCACTGCTGGGCACAGGCGGGTGCACTGCTGGGCACAGGTGTGCAGCACTGGTAGGTGGCACTGCTGGGCACCGATCATCAGGGCACTGATCATCAGTGCCCTGATGATCGGTGCCGATCCCCGCTCTGACAACTGCCGGTTCTCGGTAGTACTTTCCTAGCACTCTCACAGCACAAGGAAAGTGCAGCCGAGAACCGGCAATTGCATTACCAGATGATCACTGTGTCACTGGACACTGCTGATCACGTGGTAAAAGGCAGCTGTGATTGGCCTTTTACCACATCACGTGATCAGCGGTGTCCGTAGGACA